AGCATTTGGGGCTTGCTGGTCTCCGTGGCAATTGAGACCTTGCTAATAGTGCGGATGCACCTTCCCTTTCCACTGTGACAAGACCACTCCAATGTCTGGATTGGTCCACATAAAGATATTGACCAACTGTGGATTTCAAAGTTTTGTTTTGCTTTTTTTCTCATGGACCAACACAGCTATTTTTCTTTCTTTTGAGAAGGAAATAATATTCTTTTGTTTTTGAGGATGGTCGAGCTCGTCAACAACTAAGGTCATACTCTGCCATCCTTTTGAGATCTTGGCATTCAAGGACAAATCATAAGGAAGCCACAGAAAACAGGGCCTGTCCCTTTATTTTAATGTATTAATCTCATTTTGGAATCCTAGTTGTTTGGCTTGGAACAGAAACACCAGGTCATATTCTGTCCAATTTATTGCAACCAAAGTACCTTGACAAGAAAGAGTTCAAACAGAATCCTTGATTTTGTGTCACTGTTTTGTTTGCAAATTGCAGCATTAAAGTGTCCGTGCTGAACTGAAAGAGTTTAAACTTGGCGTGCAACAGGTGGGTGGTGAAGTGGGTGGAATATCTGGCTCCGTGTGTATGTAGCAGGATATTCCCACCAGACAATGAGCGTGTGGAAAAGAATGTGACAAAAGATGATCATAAGCTGATAAATTTGCACCAAAACCATAAGGCACCTGGGACTTTCCTAAAAGCCAAAACATAATTAGGAGAATACACTAAATTCTAAATACACTACATTCTTTTACATAAGTTTATGACACGCAGAAAAAAGTAGAGCAACGACCCTGTAGAGCAATGACAAGCAGAGCAACAAATGAAATCCATGTTTTTCAGCCTTTAATATTTGGAACCATGAGATACTGATCTAAGAGAGCCTTTCTAAACCTGTAGCCCTCTGGCTGTGCTGGACTGTATGTCCCATCATTCCCAGCCAGCATGGCCACTGGCCAGACATGATGAAAGTTGCAGTCCCACACACTTGGAAGGCACCAACTTGGGGAAGGCTGACCCAAAAGATGAGACTGGGCTTCAGCCACTGTGCATTCAGTTTTGCGATTGTCCTTAGCTGATGAGACAGGATCAGGATGAATGAAAGCGGCACATGAAAGTTTCCCTGAGTGCAGGATGAGCGAACATATATGCTTCTCCTGCTGAGATCCAATGGGATGTAAACGTCCTATATTTTGGTAGGATTGTACCAAAGGGATATTCACCTGCATATTCACTCCAGTTAGGCTTATTCCCAGGTAAGGATGTGACCAGCAGGATCAGTGATGTAGGAGAACCAGGGCCCATGGGGATGAATTACCTGAACTTTTTGATCAGCAGGGGGTCATTACCTGCCACCACCAGGACCTCCGTGTTCCCTCTGAGATTTGCTGAAATTCTCATTTCTAGGCAACACTGTATTGTTACAAGCTATCCCTTGTTACAGTGCCAAGTATGCAGCAGGCGCGGGAGGGCGGAGCGGGGGGGGGGGGGCGGCTTGGTTTCCAATGTGCAATGGTGACCCATCAGCTTTGCAGAAGACCAGCTCCAGGTAGAGACTATCTGGTTTGCTGATACGTATCAACACAGCTGCCCAGATTTTTGGACTTCCCTTGGGTGTGTCTTTGGGGAATATCCTGATGAGTATCTGCCTGCCTCTCAAAGAGTATCACTGCACCACTGTGTGAGATTGAGTGTGATTGTTTAAAATAAACATACTGTTCTTTTGTCTTCGGAATTAATGTGGAATATAAAAGGCTATAGTGACATATTTTATTTTCCTGGGCTCCAAGATCACCGCAGTTGGGGACTGCAGCCAAGAAATTAAAAGATGCTTACTCCTGGGGAGGAAAGCTATGGAAATCTAGACAGCATACTAAAAAGCAGAGACATCACCCTGCCAACAAAAGTGCGTATAGTCAAGGCCATGGTTTTCCCAGTTGCAATGTATGGCTGTGAAAGCTGGACCATAAGTAAGGCTGAGCGCTGAAGAATTGAGGCCTTTGAATTGTGGTGCTGGAGGAGACTCCTGCGAGTCCCTTGGAGCGCAAGGTGATCAAACCGGTCAGTCCTAGAGGAGATCAACCCTGACTGCTCTTTAGAAGGCCAGATCCTGAAGATGAAGCTCAAATACTTTGGCCACCTAATGAGAAGGAAGGACTCCCTGGAGAAGAGCCTAATGCTGGGAACAATAGATGGCAAAAGAAGGGGACAGCAGAGAATGAGGTGGCTAGATGGACTCGCTGAAGCAATTGGTGTGAGCTTAAATGGACTCCAGGGGATGGTGGAGGACAGGAAGGCCTGGAGGAATGTTGTCCATGGGGTCGCGATAGGTCAGACACGACTTCGCAACTAACAACAACATAAGCAGCTAATGGTCACCAAGAAAGGAAGTTGTGGATAGGGACTGCAAAAGCAGAGGAGGGAGGGCCAGGCTTAGCATCAGCTATTTTAGTTTGGATTGCAATTTAGAACTACCATTTCATCACTGGTAATTTCATTATCAGGCTGCAACTATGTGGGGGCTATTTAGGGTTGCAAGCTTAATGGACAATAAGGATCTATCCTCTGTCAATAAGCAGGTACACAATAGGAAGAAAACTACTTGGAAATAAGGGTTCCCTTTTCTTTTTTCTTTCCTTCCTCCATTTCACTACCCCCTTTTCTGCAGAAGAAAGAGCTTCTTTAGCAGTGCAAAGCTTGAAAGAGATTATAGATGTTACTGGAAGATTTGAAGAATGCTAGAAATATTTGCAAAATTTTAATTTTAAAAGCTGTTTTTCAACATCTTGCCCATTTCTGTTACATTATTTTTTAAATGGCAGCATAGGAGAGACTAAAGATTAAATACTTAACTAAAAGGATTCTTGCAAGTTTCTTGCCCACAAGCTTAAAACATTTCAAAATGAGAAAGTTCCAAATGAGAAAGCTGATAAAAATACATTTCAGAGATTTTACTTTCAATGTAGCATTTTTGTTTTGGTTTGTTTTTAAAGAAGGTGGAATGCTTGGGCTTAGCAAAACTAAGTCATAACACTTTTTATGGTCCCCCTGGAGGCTTTTTAAAAACCTAATTATAGCATGGGGATATTTGGGGGCCAGGAGTGTCACTGCTAGGAAGGGAAGGGCTAATCCTCCATTCATCAACATGGTAACCTCTCACCAAACTCAACCTCCTACACTGGAACCTGGCTTTTGAAAAGCCTCTATTGCTGCTAATGGAAGTTTTGAAAAGCTTGATTTCAGTGCAGGGAAAAGTGAAGCGTGTGTTTGCATGTATGTACATGTAACTGTGTATGTCTACTTTCACATATGTAATGGTATCTGGGTAAACATACTCGAGTGGCATAACAAGTAGAAGGCCCTGCTCACTTTGGGGTATAGTGAGACTGTACCCCACATGCTTGCCCAAAACCAACTCAGCCCTTAGAATGGAAAAAGTGCCCCGACTCTGTACGAAGGGGCAAGAGGGGGCGTTTTCCTTCGTCGTCCTCCTTCACACACCCCCAGTGCTTTTGAAAGGAATGCTTTTATTACATACTAGTGTTTGCTTATTGCAAGCTGCTTGGGAGAACAGATGTCTCTTTATTTATAGATACATAAATAAGATAGATATATATAAACAAAGGGTGCTGCTCATGTGTGTAATGTGAAATTGAAACAAATGAGAAAGATGTTTTATAAAGACAGTAACCATGCTTTGCTGGCCATGAAGCTCACTGGGTGACTTTGGGCGAGTCACCTACTCTCAGCCTAACCTACCTCACAGGATTGTTGTTGAGGATACAATGGAGCTCTGGCAGGGGCTCTGGGTTCCTCACAAGAGGAAAAAAGGTGGACTAGAAATGCAATTAATTTATTTATCAATTTATATCCTGCCTTTTTCCTACAAAGGGCTCAAGGCAGCTTACATCATTCTCCTCTTCCATCTTATCCCCACAGCAACAACCCTGTGAGGTAGGTTGGGCTGAGTGTCTGTGACTGACCCAAAGTCACCCAGTTGGTTCCATGGCCGAGCGGGGTCTCTAACCCAGTTTGTCTGAGTCCCAGTCCCACGCTCTTAACCACTACACCACACTGGCTCTGTTTAATAATAAATTTAATAGTAATAACGTAAGAGCTGTAAACAAGCAACTCAATATGGAAAGGGACATGAGCAGTACGGCTGATGGGTCTCCCTGTAAACGAATGGTCCCAGAATAGGATCCCGTTTTATCACAGGGCCCTTTCTGTTCAGAGGCAGCATCACGTGGGTCACAATTCTGGGAATGAACGTGGGAGGGGGGTTGGCGATCTCTACCGTGTCTGGCCTGCCTGTTCATCCCTGCTGGAAAACCTGGCATCTTATTTATAGAACAAGACTCTGCATGGATGGAAGGAGCGACTCCTGTGCGCGTTGAGTGCAGCTGACCTTCCATTTATCCAGGGCAGATAAAAGGAAGGGCCTTCTTCCCACGGCGCAGAGTTCATGGAATTCACTTCCACAAGATGCAGTGATGGCCACCAATTTGGAAGGCTTTGAAAGGGGCTGGAGGCGAAGGTTATCAATGGCTGCTAGTCCTGATGTCTCCATACAGCGGAGCGTGGGTGGAAGGGGGCTGCTGCCCGCAACCTCATCTGCAGCAGGGAAAGGCTCGCTCCACGCGCGCCCCTCCCGCCCTCCGTCTTCATCTTCCAGGGGCCCAGCCGAGCAGGGCCACGCAGGGCGAGAGGACACGCTTCCCCTAAAGGAGGCCTTAACGCCGCCCCCTCGCCGGGCTTCCGCCAGAGGCACCAGCGGCACAAAGCGGCCGTTTGTGCGCTCCTGCGCCTGCGAGCGGAGCGAGACGCCCCTTCCCGCCGCGCTGCTTCTGTTCCAGCGCCCTGCTCGGCGAGGCCTCCCCGCCGCCGCCGCCTCCCCGCCTCCCAGCCAATGAGCAGCCCGGCCGGAGGGCCGGCTTGGAAGGGTGTTGCCTTGCAGGCCGCCTGCCATTGGAGGCCGCCGTTTCCCCATAAGGCTCGCTCGCCCCCCTCCTCTCGCGGGCGTCAGAAATAGAAACGTCGAGGCTCGCTTTGGCAGCCAGCGGCCGGGGAGCGGGTGAGGATCGCGCCGGCTCGGGAAGGCGCCCCTCAGCTGGTGGCAGGGCGCGGCAGCCAGAAGCGCAAGCGGAAGGGAGGGCGGAAGGCTCCTCGCAAGCAGCCGGTCGGTCCCCGATTTTTCTCTCCCTGTCCTCGCCACATCCCTCCTTCCGGATCAGAGGGAGTCGATCCCTCTTCCCCTGCCTGGAACCCCGAGAGAAGTTCGCCATCACGACGCACGCGAGCAAGGAGGTGCATTCACAGGACAGACGAGCGGGACGAGGCGCGCACGAGGAAAGGGGGCGGCTTTGCGTGGCAAGCTGCGCGTTTGGAGACGGCGAACATGGCGCTGGATTTCCTCGCAGGCTGCGTAGGAGGTAAAAGCGCCCGGCGGAAGAAGCGGGGCTGGCCGGCGCCGCTGGGCTGCGGCCGATGGTGCGCGGTCTGTTTGCGAAACCGGTGGGGTGGAGGTGGAGGTGGGGGTGGAGGTGGCGGGGCGGCAGCGGCTCCGCCGGCTTAGGCTTGAGGAGACTGCATGCGTGGCTTGGCGCACTGCAGCGGGGATGCGTTGCCTGCTCATCTGCCCGGTTGGAGGGCGGAGACGCGTTGCAAGCATGGAAAGCAGGGCGGGGGAGATGCACAGCCGAGAGCGTAACGTGGAAGAGGATTTGTACCTCTCCTTCTTCCCCCTTCCCCTCCGCTTCATTCACTGCTTGTGCGGGTCTTTCACTGGGGTGCCTTGCCGCAGGCGCGCTTTCCGCGGTCCCCATTGTTCCTGCAGCGCAGGGGGACGCTTTCTGCCTCCTCACCTCCGATGAGGCGCCCCCTGATCAGCAGAATCGGCGAGCCAGCGCGCGGGAGTCGGCATTCTCGTCTCGTCCCCTGCGGGAGTCCTGCGAGGGCCGCCACTGAGTTTTAAACAAAGCAGGGCGCGCTAACGGTGGGCGAGGAAGAAGCGAGCGGTCTTGGCTGGAAGGCCGAGCCTTCATCTTGCGCTTCCTCCAGGCTTCGCCCCTCTAAATTTCCCTCTTTATGCCAAACAATGTGGGGCAAGCCTTCGTCTCTTTGACAGCCTGCCCTCAAAGGTAGCAGATGCTGTTGCATTCGTTATAGCTTGATCGCTGCCTAAACCAGGGCCTGCTGCTCGGGCTCAGTTGAAGAATTTGTTATGATGAAAGGTATGTCTCTGAGCATGTACAAAGTGCATCCTCCTTGCCACTGTATATGCAGTCAGTCCAGGGTGGGAACACAGTGGAGATGATGGAAGAAAGCCTCTCCACTACCCAGGTACATTTATTTCCCCTTCTCCCATTGTAGAACACGAGGTGGATAAGATCATAGAGTGGAGGAGGAATTTAATCCAACAATGCACCTCTCCACCTGAGATGTATTCTTCTGATAACGTTGCCAGTGAGTAGGCAACGGACCGCTTGAGGCACCATCTCTTCCATGCCCGATTTGCCCCAGTAAGCATAGTTCAGGGTTGCATAGAACACTTTGTTCTTCTGATCTTCATCTGCAGCATTTAAGCTACTTAACATATTCCTCAAAACCTTGCCAAATAGTTTTTAATAAGATTAACACTCAGCAGCACTTAATTGCTTGATGCTTAGCAACACTTAACAGCAAGAAGTTGAGAAGACTTACAACTGTTCAGCTCTCAAACCTCTTCTACTCCTGAAGACCAGGGACAGATGGGAATCACAGTTGGAGTACATGGGTTAAAGCAGTCACCTCCCAAGCAGTGAAATGCTAGTTCAAAACCCCCGCAATGTACCTCGTGCATCACTTCCCAAGACAATCACATGCTGAGTCCCTGTTGCGTGCCATAATCTGACTAGAACACTTGTTCTTGACGGAAGGTTTTGTCTTCTTCTTTGGCATATGTTGAAACTGTTCCTGTGATGCAGGGGTGACCACTGTCTTCCAGGGTTGGTGGACCACCCACCTCCTTTGCCTTGGAACAGCTTGCACCATGAGAGGAACTGAAATTGGGAGTTTCTCACCCATGAATGCGAAGTGCAGAGTATGTGGGGCTTTCCTACTTGCTGCCCCCGTTCCAGAGAGTTTTGTGTTGTCCACAGGTTCCACATAATGAACCCCTCCCTTAGGGGCTACAGGGTTGCATCACAGCAGGAGCTGTGTCCTCACCATGCCTGCCCTCTGACAGAGCGGGCACAGTGTCCAACTCTGGCAGCTGGCAAGTCTGCTTGAAGGCATTGCTCTCGTGCTTAGCACTGTTCCAGCGTGTGTGAAACCAGGTTCTTGCATTAGTTCTTTCATGGAGGCCTTCTGTTGTTATTCCTACTTTGCATTTATATGTTGCCTTTTTTCCTCTTGTGAGAAACCCAAGCAGGCCAAGAAACCCAAGAGCACTTAGAGTGTCCCCCATTACTTATTTATTAGATTTATACACCTTTTGTTTTTTTGAAAGAACTCAAAGCTGCTTACATTATTCTTCTGCTGCTTTCAGTCTTATCCCCACAACAACAACCCTGTGAGGTCAGTTGGGCTGAGAGTCTGTGACTGGCCCATCCATCTGTCATTTTGGCCGAGCGGGGACTAGAACCCGGATCCCCTGAGTCCCAGTCCCACACTCTTAACCACTGTACTACATTGGCTCTTCACTTATGGTTAGCCCTGGAACTCTTGCCATACCATCTACCATAAGACCCATGAACAGGAACTGCATGAGATCTGAAATTTGTACAGCAAATTGCAAACTTTGTATGTTAAATGGCTGGCTTAAATAGGCTTATACTGTATTGTACTTCTGTTTCAGGTGCTGCCGGTGTGTTGGTAGGACATCCATTCGATACTGTTAAGGTGGGTTGACTTTCCACAGGCTTTCTTACATTAAACACTTAGACTGAAGGTAGCACTAGTCCTTATGAATAAAAGGGGGGAATCTAGATACTTCAGACCCTTTAAAATAAAAATCCTCGTAGAGACTTTGAATTAGTTTACAGTCATACCACACTATTGCAATATCCCACACTTCAGTCAAACTTTCAACACAGAAAGAGGCAGCATTCCAGATCTTCAGTTGATGCTCTTAAATACGTTCTGAGGATTGGGTCTTCCGCCACATTTTAGGTAGCAATCCCACAGCATTTAATAACAGTTCCTACAAATTCTTCCCAAGAATATGTTGCTCTTTAGCACTAACATAACAGAATACAAACATGCACTCCACTTAACCCTGCTCTCTGGTGCCTTTTCCTTCCTGTTTGCTTTGGAAAATCATTAATTTGTTAATTATATTGCCCAGATGACTGTTTGCTGCATGATGAAACAGTCTTGCTGATTAATGTGCTTCTTCCCACCCAAAGAAGGTTTGTGTGAGTTTTCAAGTGACAACTTCTTTCTTTCTTGTTTGAGACTTTTGATGTATGTTGGCTTGACTCCTAAACGGCAGTGGTAGGTTGCTGTAGGAATTATTCGGGTTCCAGACAATTCAATTAGTTAAACTCTGTGCCTGCATAAAAGCAAAAAGAAACTCTAAAACAGTTTCCTGGCTTATAGACTAGCCCACAGGCAATGCAAATAGCTGTACTGGGTGCAGTCATATACCTCACTCAGGGGTAAGCCTCATTAAACTCTGTGGGCCTTACTTCCAAGTATACATGTACAAAATTAAACTGTGGCACTTGAGAGTACAAACCAAAATAAATGGGCTTAAATCCAATTATTTTGTCTTGTCTGTGGATTGGAATAAGATTTGAAGTCGTCTTTTAGAGAGGATGTGCCAATAGCACTCAGTAACCTTAAAGGACTTACTGCTTTAAAACAAGTGCAGGCCTTGTGGATGAGATGCAAAGTGTGTGTAAGGCTCGTAGCTGTATTTTTTCAGTCATTTCATGCCAAGTTGTTTTTGTTTTGTTGCTTTTATTTATTTATTTTTGCTGTGAAATCATTTCAAATTCCATTGAATTCTTCCAACATACTGTTTTCTATCAGAATAAAAGCTCCAAATCCTTTCATGTATTTTGTGGACACGTTTGCAGAATGCGGGCCAAAATATCACAGCTTTGTTTTCTTTTTCCAACTTAATGGAAATGAACTTAACTGACAGGATGAAAGTAGTGTGGCATGCTGCACTGAATTTTATTTTGTAGTACATTTATATTTCTCTCTTGTCATCATGGAACTCTATGGGATTTCTTATTGGTCTCCCATTCAGATATTGGCCAAGTTTGAACCTGCATAGCTTTAAAAAAGGGGATTAAAGCATGTGCCCCCAGGCTGCACTGTAGGACCAGCAAATGTATTTACTTAGAAGCAAGTTGGATTTGATCATCCTTGCAATGCAAATATGTTCGGAGTTGCAACATTATTTAATTGCTTTCATGATGGCAATAGCCTTATAATCCTGTTGTCTTAAATGTTTAGCTTCTTATGATGTTGTTGAAGGCACAATACTGAGAGGGAGAGATCTGTTTTAAGCGTCTTGCAGCCCAATCCTATACATGATTATTTGGAAGTCCGTTCCAGTGTGGAACTTTTCCCCAAAACACTGTGCATAGGATTGCTGCTTGATGCTAATTTATTGTAAAAGGACATGCTGAGTCGAATCTTGTTAAAGGGCATTTTATGTAGAGCTACGTTTCATTGCTGCATTTAACATTATAATCCATTCCTGCAAGTTTGGTAGACTTACCTGGATGGCTGAATGGCTGAAACGCTGTCAAGCAAGCCTTCTTTTTAAGCAAATTTCCCGAAGGCTGCTCTGACCCTTAATTTAAGACCACATTCTTGGGATCCAAAGAAAAGCTTAATTTTCCCGCTCTGAAATGCTCCAGGCATTGTACGGATGGGGCCAGGAGTGATGCTTGGGGGACTGCTGGGCCATGTTAAGACGTGAAAAGATGATGCACTGATTCTGAACCAGAGCTTCGAGTGGCACCTCCTCTTTTTCCCCCCCAATTTGTTGATGTGATGTGTACAATTGCTTTGTTGCTTAACTGCCTTTACTTTCTGAGCTAGGGGCTGTCTTCATTAACAGCAAAAGTGTTACTTTGTTGTAGATGACAGATAAGCCTCATCACGGGAGAGTTACCTAGTAAGTATAGACCAGGTGAACATTCTGTTTCTCTCGGTCTTAATTTATTCCAACATGTATGATTAGTTCCAAGTTTTATAAACCAACAGCAACAACAACACGCCAGGAAAACCTATAGAGTGTATTCCCTTCTTTTTTTAAACATGATTTTAGTTTTAAAAATGTTTCTAGTGTTCTGAACTGGAGGGAATGGGGAATGCAAGATTGCTTTTGAATAAGAGCATTTTAAAAAACCTAACTTTTGCCATTCATTCACTGGTGTGCATATTTTTATCCCCTTTGTGCTTTAAAGTTTATATACATATGCTGTGGAACAAACTCGCTTGCATTATGAAGTCTGTTTTCAGCTATGCCTTTAAATTAGGATCCCTTTATTTCCCAAAACACCCATCACTATGTTTGTATTGATGAATTTTAGGTATTCCCATGGGTTGGTTTGTGGGTTCTTTATCAATGTGCTTGAGTTCGGTTTTTTAGCATTTTTAATTGTTAGCGTTTCATTGCTGTTCAGCTTCATATAGATTGGAGGGGAATGAAAAGAACTGGCATCCCTTAATGGAAATTTTATTCAGAAATGATATTGGGGAGGTGGGAAATGTAACAGACAATTGCTCTATAGATGCTTTTAAGGTTTCAAACAGGAACTTTTTTAGAGATACTGACATACATTTGATAAATGGTTATCCAGCTTTAAAAAAATGGTTGTTTCTAAACAGCTCTTCAAAATAAGCATTTATGAACTCTGCAATCCAATAGTCAGACTGCTAGAATACTTGGACTTACAAATATGTAAACTTGATACTGAATGGGTTTATAATAGCCAGATTAGGTAGTTGTGGTCTAAAAAGAAAACAACCCCATGCCTGATTGCTTGGAGACATTCTCACCCATAGACAGCTTGGAAACTGTTATTTTAATAAATTTCAACAAGCATATTCTAAACTTACTCATTCATAACCTTATAGGTATTCTTGCTGGCATATCTTGTGCACTGGAAGTATTAGATGTATTTGCAAATAGCCAAATATTTCACAAAGATTGTGGAATTAAAGGGCCTAGATCCCAAAAAAGGGTTTGTCTCACTTAATTTAGAGCCCTAGTAACCACTCCCATGTCATCCAAATTTTAACATAAAATGGAGTGATTCCCAAAATGTAAACCATTCCCTTTAATTACCTACTGTGGTGTCAAAGCTCTGTACTCATAGCTACATGATACGTACCCAGACAAGGGTACTGTGTCACACTACCTGTTGATTTATGTTTAATTTTTATGTTTGGCCATGTCAATAAATTCTCGCTATATTTTATAGGTACGCCTTCAAGTTCAAAATGTGGAAAAGCCCCTCTACCGTGGAACCTTTCACTGTTTTCAGTCCATCATAAAGCAAGAATCGGTGGGTAACGCACTAGATTTGTGTCTGCTGTTGGGATTTCATTTGTGTTAAGGGGAGATGGATCTTTCATGTATAAAGAACTGGGGCTGCTTTCCATGTGGCATTGGCTGTGGAAGTCTGGGATTTGCTGCAGGACGCTGCTCATCTTTGAGCAAATCCCCAGGAGGAGCTGGCGCTGCGGGATCTCCCGCCTGCCTGTGTTCCTCCTGGAAGCAAGGGCAAGCTATTTATTTATTTATTTAGATTGTCTTATTTATTTATTTATTTATTTATTTATTTATTTATTTATTTATTTAGATTGTATTCTGCCTAATTGTGTCGCAGCACTTTTGAGCAGCTCACAGTCACAAGATAAAACACAATAAAAACCAACTAAAACACAGTAAAATACAATATTAATGAAATACAGACAAAAATACAAAACAAAGGTTTAGTGGTGTCACCTATTAAAATATTTTTTAAAAAGGAAGGTCTTTGCCTGGTCCCGAAAAGAATATAAGGAAGGTGCCAGGCAAATCTCCTTGGGGAGAGCACTCCAGGTATGGGGAGCAGCTGCAGAAGAGGCCCTCCTCCTAGCGGCCATCCCTCTCGTCTCCCTAAGGGACGGCTCACACAGGAGGGCCCCCTGCATTGATCTCAAATCAACAGGCACGTATGGCTGCAGGCGCTCCCTAAGATAACTGGGGCCTAAGCCGTTTAGGGCTTTGTATGTCAGCACGAGCACCTTGATTTGGGTCCGGGCCACAATTGGTAACCAATGGAGATCTTTCAGTATGGGCGCTATGTGAGCCATTCTAGAGGCTCCCATCAACAACCACATGATCCCATTTTGTACCAGTTGTAATTGCCAGAGCATCTTCAAGGGCAGCCCCATGTAGACCTCATTGCAGTAATCTATTACCAGTGCACATAGTAAAACTATTACCAGTGTACATGTGACTGCTTTCAGGCTCTGTCTTCCAGGTAGGGGCGAAGCTGGTATATCCTTCATAACTGGAGGAAAGATGCCCCAGTCTGAGATACCATTATCATTAGTAGTATAGCATTGCATTCCATTTCTGTACCGCCTATAGCTGAACCTCTCTGGGCAGTTCACAACATTCCAAGTCACCCATCCGTTTCAACCGTATGTCATCTTGCATTAGCCAAGTAGCATAGGAATGCTGCTGCCGTACAAGTTCCACACTACACATGGGATATGAGAAGGACTGCCAGGAGCACCTGACCCTGATTAGAGTCATTACTTGGTGACAGTGGCAGCCAGAAGTGCCTTCTGCTGATTTCGTCTTATGCGCCAGCTGGACTCTCTCATGGAGAAAACATGCCAGCCTCTCGTCAGGTCCAGGGTCACATTCTTATCACCTAGATTACCATGTAATGCTCTCTATGGGGGGCTGCCCTTGATAACAATATTGTTTAATTTGTTCCGTTCAGTTGTATTGTTTACAGTCCTAGCACCATCACAATACAACAGAGAAAAAATATCCAGTGAAAGAGACAAGGGGACAAATAGTATTTAGGTCCAGTGGGCAAATCATACATAGATTAGATAAAATGACTAATAATACAAATAGAGAAACTTCACCTAAAGATAAAATTCCATAATACTGATTTGCAGTGTTAATAAAAGTGTCTGTTATCCAAAAGTTAACGATCAAATTTCTCTGGTGCAAGCTTTTATATCTGCCTTATAAAGTCTGCTTTATCATCACAATCACCACTAATTTTATTGTTGTTACATTTATATCCTGTTTTTTTTTTTTTTTTTACTTGCAAAGTACCAGGGTGGCTACCTTGGTCCTCCTCCTCTCCATTTTATCCTCACACAGCTGTGAGGTAGTTGGGCTGGGAGTCCATGAGTGGCCCAGGCACTGAGGGAGCCCCATGACCAAGTGGGGACTAGAACCCAGATCTCCCCAGTCCCGCACTCAAACCACTACTCCACACGGGCTCTCCCACACTGGTTCTGTTGACTAGTAGCCAACGGAGTCAGTGAAAACCAGGAAGTGGTATACCGAGGAGGACACTGAGATTGATAAAAGTACAAAATCTGTTTTTCTTTAAAAAAAAAAATACTAAGGGAATGAAAAACACCCACAGCAGCCCAGGGGTGACTGAATTTTGCCACTTGGAAAAGAAAATTGGGAGTCAGGTGATGTTCTTAAGGCTTATCTTTTAATATCAAGGACTGGTCAGTTATACAGGAGTCTTTAGGCCTAATTCACTCTGTTGGTTAACTAAGGGTGTAACCTGTGCCCACTTGTCTAGGAGAGGGCCTTACTGAGCTCACCTGGGCTTGCTTCTAAGTGGCCATGCATAGAATTGTGCTGTTAACCCAAGACAGATGGGGGACGTGTGGCTGTCCAGATGTACTTGGACTGTAACTTCCATCAGCCCTAACCAGCATAGGCGATTCTTGAGGGATTATGGGAGTCATGGGCTCACAACAACCCTGCTCTAAGACAACACCCTGTTGTGTTACCATAGTGGAGCTGAAGAAATGAAAACTCATCTGCTTCTGTGCCTTTCTTTAAAAAATAAAATAAAGTAGAGCTGTGAAGTCATTAGAGTGACCTGTCATAATACCCAGTTATCTGGGTGAGCAACTCCGAAGAGGTCCAAGTGCCCCTAAGATCTGGTTGTTGCTCATTTTAAGAGAACATTCCAAAAGACAGTTCTTGGAAGTCTGGAATTTTACAAGATAGGAAAGAAAAAGATGGACCACAGAAGAGTTTGGAGTGCATGCAGCAAATGTCTCGCACTAATTGCGGAGTATGTACTTCATCTTTGTATCATGCAGTTTTGGGCCAGGATCTGCCTTCCATGGACAAGAGGTTCTGCTCACAGAACCTGCCTGTGCCCAGTTTTCAGTGGTTCCACACCTTTTCTTTGCATCACAATTTCCCCTATTTTCCTGGGTCCCCCAAATCTCTGAACAACACTTCCAAGAGGCTGGAAGGTCTCATGGGAAGTGGGCAGGGGAGGCTGCTTCCAGCTCAGTTGCATATGCCTAAACCTGGATCCAGCCTTGTAGATTCAGTTCAGGTTAACATCAGTTTCTCCCCTGTGTACGCAAAGGAGCTTATACTCTTAACTATTAAACTTGCAGAGCTTGTGGAAATGGAGAACACCACCAAAATAATAACTTATTTCCACTCATCCTGACTGTTGACTCTGCTCACCCTAATTTTAAGCTGATTCATAGCACACACCTTGCTCTTCTACTGTTCATTTCATCTCCCCAGTTTGAAACTGCAATTATGTACCTTGGATAAAAAGAAAAAAAACTCTTAGAACATCTCTACTCCCAGATCTTTTTTTTCCTTTTGTTAAGCTGCTGAGAAAGGAAAGGAGCCCAAGGTGATGAAAGCAATGGCTTATATTCTGGGCAGCTCATATCAGTATTAGCTAGTTGCTGCCAAACTGATGAATAATATTTATTTTATGGAAGGGGTTTAATCTGTGGCTGTTATTGTGCTGTGGCTGTTCACCCCAACTGTTAGCCATGCTGGTTGGGCTGATAGGGTTTGGAGTCAGCAAGTTGCAGGTCTGTAAGCACAACTTTCAGAGTTCATGGATTTGAAGAGACAAGAGTGTAACGCAAACAGGTTGTGGGTCCAGAATTCTTGCTAGCCCATCGGGAAGATGCTACTGCAGAACTTACTGTTTTATTGGAAGCAATAATTGTATGAAAATAATTGCTTAATTTTAAGCAGTTTCTTAAAATGTGCTTTTTTCTGTCTGTTCCCCCCAACAGACCTTTGGACTTTATAAAGGCATTGGGTCACCTATGATGGGACTTACCTTCATCAATGCCCTTGTGTTTGGTGTGCAAGGGAACACGCTTCGTGCTCTGGGAAAGGACACGCCGCTAAACCAGTTCCTTGCAGGGTCAGCAGCTGGCGCCATTCAGTGTATCATTTGTTGCCCCATGGAACTGGCAAAGACACGGATGCAGCTGCAAGGAACGGGGGAATACAAGCTCAAGTCGAAGAACTACAAAAACTCTCTGGACTGCTTGGTTAAGATCTACCGAAAGGAAGGTTTGAAAGGGATCAACAGAGGGATGGTGTCCACATTCCTGAGAGAGACGCCCAGCTTTGGCTTCTACTTTTTGACGTACGACTGCCTAACCAGGTACCTAGGATGTGACGCAGAGGACGGGTACATCATTCCCAAACTGCTTTTGGCGGGAGGCATGTCTGGAATTGTCTCCTGGCTGTCAACATACCCCGTGGACGTGATCAAGTCCCGTCTTCAGGCAGACGGAGTGGGTGGCGTGGCACGATACCAGGGCATTCTGGACTGTGTGAAGAAGAGCTACCAGGAGGAAGGCTTAAGGGTGTTCACGAGAGGGCTGACATCCACTCTCCTTCGGGCTTTCCCTGTTAACGCTGCTACCTTTGCCACTGTGACTGTGTTCCTCATGTACATGAGGTCAGAAGATAACCAGATCAGAGGTGATTTAACTGGCTGTGAGGCTGGCCCAGCGATCCAGCAACCTTCAAGCTTGTAGGTTCACATTGGGTGACCGAACGTACCTTTGAAAGCTCTCTTTAAAAAAAGAGTCTGGATATCAAAACTGTAAATTTCTGTCCATATAAAGCATATTTTAAGGTTATCAAGGGTTTTACCCTCTTCTAAAAGCAATTTTCTTTCCCTGTTTAGGTGTCCATTCTAGTCTAGAAGCCCAGGTAAAACAAGGACTTGCTGGGGAGGTGTGTGTGCTTGTTTGTTTTTTAAGAAACATGCTCTTTTTAAAAATACACCTTAACCCTGTTTCCAAATACGCACAAGGGTTTAGTGCATGACACTACCACCTCCAAAAGACTCCAGTTTACTAACCTACGTACACTGAGGTTCAAAAGAAGCTCTTTTCAGACTTCATTCATATGAATATGAATAGGGGAGGAGGATGGGGGTCTGGAGCACACCTACCTGTACAGGTGCTCCAGGTAGGCACCTTTGGGCAGGTGTTACTGTAGCTACATGTACGCCCAGCAGGTGGAGTGCAGGGCTGCTGTGCATTGCCACTGCCTCTTCTTCATGCTGAAGGTCTGAACAGAGCCATAATATTGCAGGAGATCTGGATTATTCCCGGAACTAACTGGTGTTCTTCCACTGGAGGTGTTCATTTTGCAGGGAAAGCCTTACCCTGTTTCCTTCTCGTTAAACCAGGAAAGTCCATGGGCCTCTCGATCTTAACTGGGCAGTGGTTGTAAGGAGCCGTTGCTTGTAGGGAGTCAGGGCCAGCACTTGTGGATTCCTGGAGGTGCCACATCTTCCACCCTTTTTTCTGCAGAATTCCCTCTGCACGTGGCTGCAATCCTTAGCAGTTGCTGATGGTTGGGAATGTGTTTTTCCAAGAACAATATGCTGTTCCCTGTCTTAATGCAATGGCTGGTGGCTGATGAAGGGGAACTTCCGGATTCTCACAGACAATGACATGGATGATCTGCCACCCCCATCGTAAAACCCTTCCTGTTCCTTCGGAGATCAGCTGAAATCCTTGCAGTAGCTGGGGGAATGGGGTAGATTTTCCCAGCAAGAATGCAATGTTGTGGGCTGACCCTTTCCTATTACACAGTATTTGGGGGTGGCTTAGTCCTGACCCTTAGCTGAACCCTAAGTGAGGCTCATTAGCCTTTCAAAAGAGCCTCTTCTGGGGTGATGATGAAAAGTGGTGGTTTGTCAGTGTGGATCGATACACCTCCCTGCACGTTTGAACTCTCAGGGTACCAGCACCAGGGCTGGGTAACATGCGACCTTCCAGATGCTAATGAGCTCCTCTCGTTCCTCACCATTGGCCAGGCTTGCTGGGACTGATAGACATTGGAGTTGAAGTACTGCGGGGGCACATATTCCCCCTTAAATGGTGTTACTTAAGCTGGCAGGATTTTACTCTCAGTGGTAATGGACTAGGCATAGTAACCCCATGTCCTTCGCCTTCTTGCTGTAAACATTTCAATACAGCATGTATGAGAATCCTGCTTTTTATCTCAATCAGTTTCCTAGCTCTGCAGATTTGTGTGTGTTTTTATTTTTGTTTTGTGGTGCTTGGAAGGCAAGCATCAGACTCCCACCTGTGCACTTCAATGCACTTAGGTGAGCAAGGGGTGCTGCTGTTTGCATTTACCTGTATATATATATTTTCTTAAATGTATTGCGTGCAGTTGCATTTTGAAATGGTTTTAGAACATGGGAAATGCCTCCCACGTTCCTCTAGAAAAACTTTACGTCATACCTTGCTGCAAAGCTTAGAGTCACACATCCGGAAACCTGTTACAGCTCAAACTGTAGAATGTCTCGGGGAATGCAGGAGGGGACAACTAATCGTTTTTCCAGATTAGGATGTATCGGCACAACGACAAATTCATACCTCTCTGGAATGAGAAGGGGCTAAAGGATGCAAGTCTGTCTGGATGGGTTCAGCTGAAGGATTGCAGATACAGGCTCCCTATCAGTATCATTTGTTTGGTTACCGTACTGTCTGGAAAACAAGCTCAGCTGGACTTCTGGCAAACTTTCAACCCATTCCAGTCTTGTTAAACAGAAATCTGAAAACATAGGTTGATCTGGTCCCTTTGATATCAAGCATTCATTTGAATCCAAAGATCGTTAATTGGACCTATGCAACAAAGGTATCAGTTACAATCCTGCAGGCCCTTACCAGGCCATACATCTCAAACAGGGCTGCTTCTGGGTAATCATACCTAGTGGTCACACTTAAAAGGCTAATAGCCAAGAGCTAACTTTTTACAAGATGTGCTTATAACCTCTTCACAGGCCTGTCACCTGTTTTGCCTGACCAAATGCAGGGGGAAATCTTAACACACTTGTCTGGCCCCCGCCAGGCCTGAATAGCCCCCATGCCACCTTGCCAGGTGCTTGCATAGGAAACAAGACATGGGGTGCTCGTGCTGGGAAGGCTTGTGTGATGGGGGCATGTTAACCAAGGCCAGCATAATATGCTTTGCTGCCTGAGGTGGAACAGCAGCAGATGGAAGCTGGGAACCAGCAATCCGTCTTGGCGGGAAAATCCAACAAGCACCGTCTGCTGCTGGAGCAGTAAGCATGCCTCCAGGAGGCCAAAACATGTAATGTCAGTATGGCGTTTCCCCACTACACTTTCGGGACTTGTCATCCCTACTGAAACAGACGGTTTTTACCACTGTGTGCAGCCTTGACTAACATAGACCCTGCTGAGGAATAGTATTCGCCTCATTTTGTGGCAGGACTTCGACAAACCTAGGCAAGAGGAAAAGGAGATTTTCTCCCTAGGCTTGGCTTCTCTGCAGTTTGTACTGTGGCTGGACTTCCGTTCTCAAGCCGTGTGCCTTGTCAGCCTATTAAAAGCATCGCATTTGTCTGCACAGAGGGAGGTCATAGCACATGTGGCGTTCCCGAGGTGGAAGGCAGCCATTGGTGGTACATGCTGCAAAGACATCACGTGAACCTGTCAGTTGGTGTGAGGAGAGAACAACCTTTAGGCCTGGCCTGATTAGAAAAAGCTGGGAAGAGGCAGAGTGATAGATTTCTGCTGCTTAGCAGGACAGTGCTGAGAACCAGCCTACAAAGCAATTGTAGGAACACCCTAAAGAAACACATGTGCCCCCCCCCCCCCAGATACAATGACTCCTGTAGAGATGTTTTCATGAATTGTTTTAGGCCGAGACACCCTTTCAAGCACGTCCTGCAATTTGGAACCTACTCCTTGATGTAAGCATCTTCTTGGCGTACTTTTTCTTGCTCTCCCTCTCTTCCTAAGGATGTGTACTGGTGGTTCCCACTACCTTATCCAGTCTTTAGGCCCAGGCCTAACCCTGCCATGGGTGCTAGTGCATCAGTTGAAGACTTTTAAGAGTTCAGTAATTTAAATTAGAAGAAAGAAAAGCACCCAATTGGGAGTAAGGAACAGAAACTTACATACAGCATGTACCACAAACTCAAGCCCAGGGGATATGTTACTTATTATTTGGGTCAGGTGCAATATTGCTGGTTAATACTTTTTAAAAATAAATTCTAGCCAGCTAACAGCATTTTAAAGATAGTAGGCTGGAGAAACCTGTAAAACTGATTTGCTGGTTCTGTATCATGCAGCTGCACTGGATGTTCTGGTATCTACATGCAGGGGCATTTAAATTGAATGTGAAATCTTTCTAAGCTGTTTATGCACAACAATACAGAGCAATGACAGTTATCCATTTTTTGTACAGAATTCTGTAACTATTGTACATAAACCCAGAAGAAATAAATCTTTTTTTATGAAAATCATGCTTGTACCTCATATATGAATAATTTGATGCTTTACACTAGAACTACAGAATCAAGAAGCAAAATAATACCTTTTATTTTATAATAAAATATAATTAAAATGTAATATAGTTTTAATTATAGATCTAGCTCACATAATTATATATTAACTATATGTTATAAATAATTATAGAATGTATAATTTTATAATCAGCTTTAGTCCCCCATGTGGCAAAACAAGAGATTTTCCAATGGCCGCCTTCCACAGGTAATATACTGCATAGTCTATGTAATACAGAGAGGTGCAGTACAAATATTTTGCAGAAACAGAGATGGTACTTATAGAAGCGAAATGCATCTTTTAATCAATGAATTAATCAGATTTTTAGCCTGCCCCATTAGCCACACATGGGACATAAGCACAACAATTGATGTTGATCACTTTTTAGAGTCCTGAGCAAAGAATCAAAATGTGGGTAGATTATAATTTTAAAAAATTGCTGGCAAGGTGGAATAGTTAGGATTTCAGGGCCTATCCTACCTCGCAGGGTTGTTGTGAAGATAAAAAGTGGAGAACTATGGAAGGTATAGGGGGAAAAACCCCAGTGTATTGGAGACTAAATTTTTTAAAGCTATCCTACCATTCTCCACCCATTCAGAGTTGGCAAAGTGGGGTTCTGTTTGGGATACTGTATCAATTATTTTTAGGAACTTCACGTTGCCAGGAGGAGGAGGAGGAGGTTTCTTAAGACACTGGATTGATGCCATTAGGAAGGGTGCAGTGTTCCCAGCAGCCGACTCCTCTGCTGCATTACTGCCAAACACTTTATCGATCTGGATCCCGGGGTTTTTATTATGCAAATGGAAAAGTTGAGGTCACAGGATTCCCTCTTACTCATAAGCAAGAATAGTCAATGCGATCTTCCTATTTAAAAAAGCACACAAAGCTGAGAAAGTGAAGCAAGCAAGCTGATGCTGAATGAAATTGCACCTGCCTCTTCAATGCCTTAAGCTGCACCTATCATGCTCTCCACCAACAGCACAGAACAGTGTGACAGGCCAATAGAGCATTGTGGTTGCCTCCAAGGAACTTTATGAATCTTGGCCACATGTGCCCAGCTGCTAACACTAACCAACTCCATGTTTTATCCTGAATGCATGCACACCCTTCTATAACCAATCTATCCTACTGAATATATTTTTTTTTCTTGTAGCCTTCACTGCCAAATAATTTGAGCAAAATAAAGCATGTTTTTGGAGCATGCCTCTCCAGGTATTAACAGAACCTGCATACACAGGTAGATGTCATTTAGATATCCTAATGTTAACACTGGTGGTTGACCTAACTGAAGATCCTATGCCAGATGAAAGTCATTCAATTAACAGCCTCAGAGAGTGGAATCTTTTGTTAAGATCCAAGCCTGTAGGGCAGAATGTCTTTCAGGCAGAGGGTTGAAGTCTCCAGACAGAGAGGGAAGAGTTGCATTCCCGTGGTGGGCAGAGCTGAAGGCAAAAGGGACAGGGCCAATATTTTCATTTAGAAGTTCATAGGGTTTGTAACCAAGCTCAGAGAAAAGCATTTTGACCTTTCCAAGTGGGTAAGATTGCGCAAAGGTTGAGAAACAACCCAATGACAGATGGTTGCAGGAAACGGGTCATGGACACCTGGGGACCCTGAATTGGGACTCTTGGTAGGCTGGATTCAGTCTCCTGTTAGGTTTGGCATTACTGCTCTGAGATAATGATGGGGATATGGTTGTCCTCCAGCTGTTGCAGCATTGCAACCTATGTTTCTTTCCATTTGTTAAGCTGGCTCAGACAGAGGAAAGTAACCATCATGGGAGCATAGACAGCTGCCTCCCATTGCCTTGGGCCATGGTCTGTGTGGCTCAGTAGAGTCAACACGGAGCGGAAGCAACTCTCCAGATATTTTCCAAGCCCTACTGGAGAGTGAATCTGTGAGCACCAAGATACTGAGATACACAGAGAACTGAGCTGCATCCCTTTCCCTAAACAGTCCAACATCATCTGGAAGGCCACAAGTTCTCCACCCCTGCGATAAAATCTGCAAGGTATTACACCACTAGTATTTCACTCTATTCCCCTTATCTTTCACATCACTATGTATGGGTGTGAAAGCTGACAGGAAGAAAATTGCTGAGTTTGAAACATGGTGCAGAAGGAGAACTTTGTGACTGCCAGGATTAAGAGATCAATTGGCTCTAGATCAAATCAAACCAGAGCTTTCTCTAGAAAAAAAAAATAACAAAGTGGAGGCTATATGTTGGGCACATAGTGAGAAGGCAAAACTTCCAGGAGAAAATCATGCAAGGTGGAAGAAAAAAAGACCAAATACAGGATGGGTTGACTTCATAGAGGAAACCACAAGCCTGAATTTACAAGAGCTGAGCAGGGCTGTCCTGGACATAACATTTTGGATGGAAACTCCACTTCATAGGTCACCTTACATTGAAATCAACTTAAGGGTAACCACAAATCTCCCACTGGCCTCCCATGTCCCACCCCTCTAGTATATCAAGTTAAAAGAAATCCTTTGGCTTCGATATATTTTATTGCATTTGAATGCAGGACCATAGCATGCTTTCTGGGCAGCTCACAAAATACTGGTATCTGACAGAATCCTGCAGAACACAAACCCTTGGAAGCAGGGATGGGGAACCTAAGGCTGTCACAAGCTCCCCTTATGTCCAACTAACTTCTTCCGCAGGTCTTGCCCACTCTCCTGGTAGTGAAAAGCTCAATAAGCAACCTATAAGGAGATAGCTTTCCCAGGTCATGGAGAGCAGGCTGGTCAGGGGAGGAAGCTACTGAATAAATTTATTTACTTCTGAGCCTTGCTGGTTTACTTGGGAGCATACGGGTCAAGCTTTTTGAGTGGACTCAAAGAAAGAATCACAGCTTTGCTCCTCCCTGTGGTCTTTGGCCTTGCCTACACAATGTAGCCTTCAAGATTTTGTCCAGACCAGAATTTGGCCCTTGCACTGAAAAAGGTTCCCTGTCCCTGCTCTGAATCTTAGGAAAGACCTGTGATATAACCACTGTTCTCTAAACTCTCCAGAAACGCAACATGCCAAAGCAAAACAAAGCAAGGAGGAATCAAGGTCAGCCACACTCTCCATTGTCTTCCATTTTCTTCATGCCTTCCTTTAAAAAAATTAAATTTAATCACTTTAACAAGCTTGGAAGTACTTTTCACATGAAATGATCAGTTGCTATATACAGTTATGCAATACAAGATGTGTAAAATACATGAATTCATCATTAAATATGGCTCTCTGGAGAAACTTGCAGTTTCATGGACATATAAGTGATACTATAGAGCAAAGCATATGGGACAAAAAAGCAATGCCAAGCTCATAAAATGGGAATAAACACTTGCATACAACATCTGGCTTGCAATTAAGATTTTCAACTCAGCATGGGGAACAGATCCTTTAAAACATTTATAAAATCACCTGAAAAGTTGATCTTTCCCCTTCAAATTCTGAGATGACTTGAGATTGGGCATTTTACAGCACAGTAAATCAAGCTATCCTCCACTAAGTGCATAGATACATCCCATTCTTAAGTTACATGCTTCCCGACCCTCATTCCATGCCCAGGAGCTGTGTGGGCATTCACACACAATGACATTTCCTTTCAGGCTATGTAGCACAAGGCACTCATTAAAGTAATCAAAGGGCAGCATTCCACTTGTTTTTCTCAGTCACTTTGCAGGCTAGATCATAAAAATCACAGATCCAGTATAGCAAGGATGGCAATTTAAGACCACTCGTTCACTGTAACAGAAATTCTGCCAAGCATCCTGAGAAATGTAGCTTTGGATTTAAAAACAAATTATTTTCCCTGGCCTTTATGCATGCAAAAATGTTTGTGAGCGCTGTTTAGTGAAGGCTGAGAAGCCACAAACAGTGGGGTGGGGATTTGGTTCCCTGCATAAGCTTTCCTTTATGCAGAATTATGCATAACAGTAAGACATTGCAAAATTCTACCAAATTTAATTGTATATAACTCAGGACATAATTTGGTTTTTCCTGAGCCAGAAGCTGAATTTGCTGGTTGCACTTTTACTCCTTTTAAGGGCACATGTAGATCCCCTAGGACACCTTTATAACTGTAAAAGCACAAGTAACTACTGTAAACAGAAATAGCCTCCCAGGACCATCTGCAAAATAATATTCCAGAAATATCTATGGATAATGATCACCGTGCTTGGTGATGCCTGAGTTCCTCATTCAAGGATAGAACTGCTAAAGTGGCTTTTGGTATTCTAATATTAGGATTCACACACTCAACTTGCTACTTTTAATATTAATTAGTGCACCTGTTATCACCTTACCTTATCAGGCCAAGGCAGTGGAGTTGCATACATTCTCCTGTTCCACCATTCAAACGCTGCAAAGAATGGATTACATCCAATGGCGCCTACACAACAGTAGAACTGACACTGCTGGTACAATAATTTCCCTTTTCCACCTCCACTCCCCAAATCTGCTCCAGATGGTTAGCAGACAGATTTCAGGGGTGTGGAGGGAATCCCACTGCATGAGCAGAAATTTGCTCGTGTGATACCGGATGGCCCCAGATTAAAATTCAAACTTCAACACAGGTTTTCCAGTGAGAGGAGCCATATCATCAGCAGAGACCAGCATTCTGACATCTACTTAACTGATATTTTTGTGGGGAGTAGGGGATTAGAGCTGTATTACAGATATATCATTTACATTTTTAAAAAAAAAATCTAACTGAAAGCCAAAAAAAGGAAAGGTAACTTGAATTTTATTTATCTTCCAATTCCTGGGAGGTTAAAGAACTATAATTTGTTCTGGACAACAGAAGAAAATAGGCTGTGCTTACAGATAATTTTCTGCCATATTCTTTCTTCAGGACCACCGTTTTATTGTTGCCCACTCTATTACACGGGATGTACATATCAGGTGTCGTTAAAAAGTCAGTGCCTGTACATTACATTCTACAACTGAGCACCACTTTCCTTAACTGAACAGGCAAAGAGAAAGTACACGGAACATCAGCATCTGGCAGTATTTTTCCCAAAAAAAGTGACTAAAATGGGTTTAAGTTGATTAACACTATTAAATCACATCTAATATTTGTTACTACATGATTTCATTACAGCTATACGATACAATTATACAAAATGTGTTAACATCAAAGAATACAACCCAAAAAAAATTAAGATAGCAAACAAAACCTATATAACTTTTTTTTCTCTTTACAGGAAAATACTTTTGAAGTATGCATGTAACTGCCCATTCTTTTAAAGAAAATCTACTGCAAGCAAAGTTATCAACCTCCAGAAAAAAATCACACATAGCATTACTAAGCATATCCCCAAAAAGTGTACAATATGCACACTTGGAAAATACAAAATTAAAAAATTGTAAGCAACAGGTGAGCTTCATATTTATAACAATGTGAAAAGTCCAATTTTAGCACTGTTGTATAAAGAACTGTCTTTGATGCAAGTCCATGAACTGTCTGCCTCCTCCAGATGGGGCCACGCTTTACAAAAACACCATGCTCTTGAAACCAAATTACAGAGCAAAATCGAGCATTGCCACAACGCTGCTTTACAGTTTATTTTGCTATGTTATCAAAAACCAGTCCTTTAGGTGTGTAGGATTCTTTTTTTGTTTTTTTTTTTTAATTCTTTCCTAGAAACAATATACAAAGGGGGAGGCTTATTTAATTTCAACCATTCTCCTGTAAGATAAGATGCTTTGAGTTCAAGAGCTTTCTCCTTGCAGAGTTTCACTGGTTGTTTTTGGCCTTAGCATGTGTTAAGATGTGAGATTTCAGGTTAGTTGACTGAGCAAACTTCTTATTACAGCCATCGAAAGGGCACACATAGGGCCTGTCTCCAGTATGAATTCGCACGTGTGTGCGTAAATTGAAGTCCAGTGAAAAGCGTTTGCCACAGCCTTCAAACGTGCACTGTTGGGGGAAAAAACAAGATATTAGAAATACAACTCAGAAAACAATGCTCTCAACAAAGCTAAGACCTTCACTTCATTACTAGACTTCTGTGGAAATGATTTTTATTTCCGTAATGCCATACTGGGTCCCTAATTACTCAAAAGTAAATGCTGTTGAAACTAGGCCATCTTCACCCATGGCAAACTCGCCATTTTTTCACACTCACTCCCAAGCACAATCATATGGGAAACCCCTGTATAGCCCCCTGTATTCAACAGCTGTTTCTGTAAAAGGAGCCAATACTTCTTAGCACTGCAGTTGCAAAAAACACTCCTGCCCACTGGGGGCTGCATCTGCATACATCCAGCCTCCCATAGTAGCCCCTTCACTGAACTGCATGTGTAGAACGGATTACAGTCAGAAATAGGTGGCTAATTCACCCATGAGAATTGGCTACACTAGAATTTGTACATCTATTTGGGATTACAGGTTGCAAAATTTACTGTCTGGGCAAGAACCACACAAATCTGCCACCTTTGTAGGGATTTCTACAGAGATTTACAGGGATTTCTCTATTGTGGAAATCACTTGGTCAGATTTAAGGGGAGAATCCCAAGAGGAAATCCACTTTACCAACTTCCTTTAATTCTCGTTAAAACCTGCTCTTTATGTCATAACATTTTTTCCTGAAGCCTGATGACTGTAGGCTTCCATGGGAGTGGGTGTGATTACTGAACATTGATTTTTCCTTTCAGCTATGCGGCACTGGATCTAAATTCAACTTAAAATCAATGAGACAAAGTGAGCTAATTCAAGAATAGATCCAATTGTGATCAGAGGTTGTTTTTATGTAGTCACACTTCTCCATCAAGCAAAGGCTAGCTTTACATCTGACTCACATTCTAAGGCACCAAGACATTGATCACAACCATCCAAAGCAAGAACCTTCCAAGTCTCTGACCTGATTAGCAAGATCTAGTAACTCATCATGAATAACTAGCCATTGGGGGGGGGGGGGTTGTTGTACTGTTCAAGCCCAGACTATTTTCCAAAGAGTGTTTTATTTTTCAGCAACAAGCCAATCTGATAATCATTGTTTATTTTAGGGTGTATTTTTATCCATTGTGGTCTAATTTATCAGTTGGATTTTACAAAACTAAAGACTCCCCAGAAAATTGCACAAATGTTTTTTGCTATTTATTTGTCAGTCTTTCAAAAGCGCACCCTTGGGGTGTTGGGCACGTGTAATCTTGGCTGGCTAATTTAACTGTATGTCATCTGCCAAAGGAAGCCCCCAGGAGGAGGCAGTAACCTACCAGGCAAGGCTGCATTACAGACTAATTTGGGCAGAGTTGCCAGGAAGCAAATGCCAAGTTGTCAACTAAAAAGCGGTTGGGGGGTGGGGGGGGGGGATGACTGAAAAAGGTGAACCAAAAATAGGAACTCTCCCACTTCCTGCCTCAGCAGCTACTCCAGAAAAGGTAGATATTTGCTTCCCACCGTTTTGTGGGTTCCTTGCAATTCTAATAAAAAGCTTGAAGAAAATGTCTGAATGGGACACAGTAAATGGGGTCCCATGGGGGTGTGGGTGTTAAGTACAACAGGTGCTAGCACTCCATTTGCTCTGTCCTATTATGCAACTGTAAGGGGTTTTAAAATTATTTTAACTGTTAATAATAATATTATTTAACATATTTTACTGTCTGTACATTTTTTTTGAATTGGGAATAACCAAATTTAATGGCTGGCAGGTAAATATAGAGGAAACGTGTGTATTTCTGAGAGCTTAAAAAAAAAAAAAAAAAAGAACCAGCACTTAGGTACTCTGGACAAGCCTACAAAAAGAGCTATTATTTCCCCCTTCTGGAGTAGCTGGCAACCCAGCTAAGTGTTGAAAAGGTGGTGTCATTTTAACACTTAACACTGAGAGGATTATTTGCTAAGTGGGAGATGGAGCTCCCTCCTTTTGGTATACCTTCTTTTGTTACTTCCCCCCACCCTTTTTGAAGCAATCTTTCATCTGTCGACTCAGCAACTGACACGAGGCAACTGTGTGAAACTCAGCGTATATGTAGTCTCACCCTGTTGATTTCCATATAAGTTACCTAACCTAGCTAGTGACAAAAGTGGCTCAATGTAATGGACAATGAACTCACAGAGGAAGTTCTTAACAATGCTGCTGTAGCTGCCAAGAGAAGCAGAGCAGGAAGATGCATATCCCACCCCGAACAAGAAATAAGGGAAAGGCCTCATCACTGCTTGAAAGGAGCCTCTTTCTTAACTGAGAACTCCCAAATGATCCCCAAGGCCTTTCAGGGAAAATTCCCAATTGTGGAAATGCACTGAGACCAGCAAGGAGACCCCTGTTTTGCAGCCCAGAGAAGCTGGTGAGGTGGGCTCACTTTACTTGGAGCAGGCCAAATTCAAACTGGCAGGAAAGATGGTGTACAGGCCTTGTTTTAGAAAACTGTTACCTGGACTCTGACATGGGGACTTTAGAGCACTCTAAATAGGTAAAACTAGTTCCTACAAACCTGACATAAATTAACAGCCAGTTGTATCAACATGAAGTCACATTTTCAGGAAAGGAAAAGGTTATGCACATACCTAATGTATTATGCACTTAAGCAGGTCTGTGTGCTCTTTAGATATTACTCCCTGAACCAAATTTTGCTGAGGAAAGGTATTTTACATTTATACCATTTCATCAGAACTTTACAGTTAAAAAAAATTATACAAATGTCTTGTAAACAGGAGTCTTTCTAGCCAGGTTATGGAAAAATGTTTTATTTACTGATGACAACAGTAGAACAGCATGGAGAATGAGAGAAATGGACAAAAGCCAAAGCAATACACGAGGAACAGAAAGCTGTGCCGGCTGCTGAAACCCCCTTTCCCACAGAAATAGTGGTCCCTGATTTCATCTGTATCAAGTAAGCACATTTAAGCGGCTCTTCATGACTTTAAGGGCTAGAAATATGCTGTTTTCAAAATAAACCAAAGTCTTCAGGATGCTCAGTTCTACTAAGGTTTCTACACTTAAACAGCTATCCTGCAGACATGAAGAATCTACAGCTCTGCCTACAAATGCTGCAATGCAATGTTTGGGTGGGGGGCTATTTAAATAGTTCATCGCATGTAAACAAATTGTTTTATCCACTGAAATCCAAGTGGTGGGCATTGTTGATTACTTGCTTCTCTATTCACTGTCCTCCTGGGTAATCTTTGAAAACTGAAAGTGCAGGGAGTTCTGATGGTAAATGCAAGGTGGAAAAAAGACAATGACTAAGTCTTTTATATACCTGACAGTTAATTCTGAACATGGAAAATTAATCCTCTGAGCAAGCAGTGGTAGAACAGCAATTTTAAAAGTGTCAACAGGATGACTGGAATGCAGATAAAGTATTTTAAAAAGTTACCTGAAAGGGTTTCTCTCCAGTATGAACTAGCTGGTGCCGTTTTAGCTTTGAGCTCTCTACAAAGGCCTTGCCACATTCTGCACAAACATGTACTCGAGGCCCGTGAGTATGCAGATGCTTCCTCATGGCTGAGTTGTCCCTGAACATCTTTGTGCATCCCTTCAAAATAATATCATAGTTCAATTAGCTGTCAGATAAGACCCGAATTATCACCTAATTATTTAACAGAAATTACCTTTATACAGTGAATCTCTTTCCAGATACAGAAAGAAAGAAAACTAGTGTTACCTATATACTAAAGTTACAGGAGCAGCTTATTTCACAAGGTATAGACAATGAAAGAAGTCCACCAAAATGAAGAACTGAAAAATGCCAGGTCCAAAAGAATCATTTCTAGAAAAGGTAAAGAAGTTGCTGGTAGATCACAAAGCAAATTGTCTTCCAATCAAATATACATGATAATAAAGTCCAAGTATTGTCTCATGCAGCCTCGTCACTGGGAAATGACTGAGCCATGGGCTTTCAATGCATCTCAGTCTAAATATACTAGAGCTATTTCTAAAGAGCATATATCACTATAGTAAATTTCCTCCTCCTCACTATCTGTACCTGAAGCTCTCTGGGCAGTTTACACAACAATAATCATAGAATCATACACTCCAGTCACAAAACCAGATTTTAGCCAGCCTGTACCAGCTCAGCTTCCAATATTAGGCAGGATCCTCAGGCTACAAGGAAGCTATAGCTAAATACATATATACATTCAATAGCCATCAAATTCTTGATACCCTAAATCATTGCCCAGCATATTGTATTGCAACAAAAAGTGCTGTAGCTATTGTAGTGGCATTGCAAATAGAAGTAATAAATAATAAATGTGGCATTTAAACCAGTTCTGAATCCTAAGGGGGCCACCAGTCATGGTATTTCCAGTTCTTATTTCTAGAAATATTAACTTCTCCTACACATCAATTTATGTAAGTAGTCATTGCAATGCAACCAAGCCTCCTACATGAATTAAGTGTTGCAATGGAATGCATAAGAATGTTGCTTCTATTTAGTTATAAGGAGATAGCTAAACTGAAGCTCAACAAATTAGTTTAAATATAATCATACTGTGAATTGACTTTTTCAAGATTTGCCCTACAAGTCATTCAGCAATCATAACTTTTCACTCACTTTGTGGGGACATGCTATCGTTCTTGGAGCATCATCTTCTTTGATTTTTCTTGGCTTCATTCTTACAGGGAAAAAGATCAGAAGCAATTAGTAAACAGCAAATATCCTTTCTTCTTTCTGTCAGTAACTACACTTCTGGCATAAACCATTTATACTGTATAACTATATTGTGGCAATACAGAACTAGTACAGTGGCATCAACTATTCATTTGTTCAAGCAACTAAAAAGTTTATAGTTCAGCTTCTGTGAGCAGAGAGGAAGCTGTCACTTAAGCCAGGACTAAAACTTCAACAACATGCTGAGGTCCTAAAAATTACCCTGTCTCTACAAGTTTAAACACAGAAAGCCCAGAGGTAAAGAGGCTAAAGGAACAGAGCAGAGCAAAGAGTGAAATTAGAACAAGAAACCTAAAGATAGAGTAGGTGACTGGAAAAATATGTCAGGGGAGATAGGGAAGTAATTCTAACTGGGAAGTAACCAAAGAATGAGAAGTGACCTCAGGGTCTAGCCCCTGACAGGGAAATTCTGCCCACTGTGGCTCCTGTAGCCATAGAAGCATTGTTACTTGGAAACCTTAAGAGGAAATGAAAGTCAAAAGGCCACTACAGGATGGAAGCCACATCCTGATTTGAACCAATCAGCCCATCCTTTGTCTGGAGCCATCTACTCCACAGTATTGGCTTTTAAACTGAGGGTCACAAGAGGTTCTGTTTGCATTGTTTTGTTTTACTATTAACAGGCCTATATCAAAATACAGCCGCCAAAACATTCATTTTTACTGCTTGTAAGTAATTTCAATTTCTTGACAGCAAAATGCATTACAGAAAGTGCTTACCAATTACATCATGAGAATGTTGTACATAACCCTCAATAAATTACTTCTTCATACCTACACAAATTGTATTCCAGTTTTTTGGCTAAACCCAAGAGACCAGAAAAATGTCTTGCTATCTGAGAAATATGAAGGAATATAATGAAATGATGTAGTTACTTAAGTAACAGAGCTTACTACTTACCTTGCAAATTCAGCCAACTGTTTAGGGTCTGAAAGGTCTATGCCAGGTATTCCTCCAGGAGGCAGTTTCTTTCCCGTCATGTATTCAGAGTAGTCAGGAGGGGAGTTCTCGCCAATGATCTGCTCTTCCACCACAGTCTCATGGTCAATGTCTTTTTTGTCATCTGAAATGATTAGAGAAAACTGAATTTTGATTTAACATCCACGAAGGACGCCACTACTAGCTTGGGAAATGTTTACTAGAAATGGGGTGCAATCCTGCTGGATTGCTGCCTACTAGATAAAAACCTCTGAGACAGGTGACTTCCTAGCACCCTATGCCCTACCGCCCTCCTTTAAAGTGTTTTTCCACCCACTAGATAGGCCTCTAAGTGCTATGCTGGGGCATGCCCCTTTCTGTGTCCTTCCTGCAGTTGACTGGGGGGGGGGATCAACATCTGGATCTCCTCCGAGACTAGAGTTCTGCCTCCAGCTTTGGAGAAGGGTATATACAGCATACTATTGCTGCCCAGATGCTGCCTAGGGACCAAACGATTGCTCTGCCTATAACTACCAAGGTGCCAACCTATCTCTTTCTGTGTGCACATACAAAAATCTTGAACTAGTTATCTAGGAAGGTGCCAAAAGGTATAGTAAGTGAAGTTCATTTGTACAAAATCACCTATTTATGAATGTTCTCCCCTTGTAACATCCAAGTACAAAACAATTTTTTAAATGAACCAAGTGCCCAAGGGTAAGCAACCTCAACTAGTACATTCCTCATGTGACCTATTATGCCCATCATGTGTACTCTGGCTTCTCTGCCACATGCAACTTAATCCAGCAACTTAATCCTGAAACAATATGAATATTCAAGTGGAAGTTAAAATATTTCTTCCATCTTAATCTGAAAAATGATTTCAAATACTGGGTTCTTGTTATAGAAATAAAAATTCACAGCCAGACAAAGATATGAACAGCAGACATGACACATATGCTAACTGTAAATTTTGGGTAATCAAAATCTGTTTCCATATCTTGCTATATTTGAAATCATACCATTTTGAAATAAATTGCCCAGTTATTGTTTACTTGCTGACAAAGGGTTCAGATGGACTGCCTATTTCTCAGCACAATTTTTTCTAGGCCTTGTAAGAACTAGGCAACCAGCCTACTACCAGACACATCCACATTTTAAGACTGACCTTTGAATTGTATGGGTACTTGTTTTCCTGCCTCTTCAACCATTTTTGTTTAAACCTGGCAGTTATGAACACTTTTTTAAAAATCTTCAAAGCATAGCTGTGTAATCGAGGTCTGAAAAATCTCAAGTGTGTAGCCACCCTAGAAACTTGAAGCTTAGCCCTAGAACTCAACTTTCCTATCCCAAGCAAATCTGTATAGATAATTTAAAAGTTTAACTTCTCTGTGTAAAGTTAAACCACTACTGCAAAAGATAGCACATTTGCTAAACATGTTTTCAATAGAAATTACACACTGTCATGCTGGTTCCATGTCAGGGAACTAAAACTAGGTTCCAACATACTTGATGGGTATGCTTGAAGAAGAACATTAACTTTGCTGTGCTAAGTTCATTCTCTTCAGTGGACAGAAGGTATCCTTGCAAGGTGACTTCCAATCACTTGAGAAAAAACATCTACTAGGACACTGGGGAAGAGTCCCCATCAAACCATCCTCAGCTACAGAAGCTTCTTGAAATGGGGCTCCATGTGTCATGCACTCAGACAATGAAGAATGTATCCATGCTAACCTCCAACCACTTGAGGAAGCCTTGGCTGAACAAAGGTGTCCAATCTGAAGTGTCTAATGGGTGTGGAGACTGATAACCTTCAGATGTCCCAGGCAGAGTGATTAGTACCAGCTGCTAACATATAAATGCTGGATGTTGAGGGAGTCAACCTTTCTCTATAGCGGACAGCCTCCAATTCACATGGAAACCATCACCAAATTTGATACAAGAGTAGTAACAACAAAAGGCAGCAGGTTTTGCAAGGAAACAAGGCACATGGGGACCATGTATCCTGTTTGTGCTCTGGGACTTGCAGAAGTGTGTTTCTACTTGCAGGCAAGGCACATACTCCCTGCACACCTTGTCATCTTGCAAAACCGCCATTTTGCAGCCACAGCTGCAAATCTGGGAGGGTTGGAGAGGGGAGCCTACCCCAGCCCTAGTGTTTTGCAAGGATACACAGGCCCAAATGGGGTTATTTTATTTTTAAATTTCACTGATATACCACTCAACTGTCTGGGTGATTTAAAAGTTATACAATTTCTGAAAAGTTGAAAAATATTCAATATTTTTCAGTGGCCTTAGGTCTAAAGTCACCTTGCTGCTTTAGTACAACCTTATCCAACATGCTGCCCTCCAAATTTTTGGGCTTCCATTCCCATCAGCACCATACAACATAGTCAATGGTAAGGAATGCTAGAAATTGTAGTTCAAAACATCTAGGGAGAACCAGACTGCTTAAGGAATATAAAACTTGCAAACATATTATTTACAAAATATAGGTTTACAAAAGCCTGTAAATTTAGGCTTTTATTTTATGTCTAATCAAAGGGAGCTATATCAAAAAGTCCTTGGAATATCTGAATCATCCTGTAAGACAAAGGAAGCAGGAAGAACTTGGGGCAGAGAAAAACTAGTATATAACATCTGTTCCTGTTTGTATGGAAATTTACAAAAATTCCTCAACCTGTTCCTGAGGTGGAATATAGGAAATTTGGTGTGAAGGAAATGCTTTTGAGATTTTATTTAGCTGGGAAAAACTAACCTATGAGGAATATTAAGCACCCATGTTCAATTTAAGAACTTTTAAGCAGTCTCAACCTATAATTTGAAGAATGAAAATTTATTTTCATTTAGTAAACAATTCTGGTTACCTAACATCTTACCTAAAGTTCTTTTGAAAGGTGATCTAGCATGGCGGTGTTAATCCTATGCCTATACCATAGGAATCAGGCTACTGATTATTTTTTGATGCAAGAGGTGTATACTAGTGGCAGCATGTGAACTTTGTATAACTGAAACAGAATTCCTTAGCAGTAATGTTTGCCAAGCTTCAATTTAAAAATCCCCTCAATCTGATGGGTTAACCCACATACTACACTGGTAAAAAAAACCCTATTTATTTCACATGTTGATTTCATGTCAAAATTATATTGACTGTTGCAGCATATAAGCAGAACAAGTCCAGAAAGACAGAACTCTATAAAACAAAATCCAAAGAATGCACTTTCTTCCATATTATAATGGAGTGAGTCAACATGCATGGTGAGAAACTGAACATTGCTCTGAGCAACGATAGACATTTATCAGTAAAAGATACGTGATAATCTACAATTTTAATAAGGAATAGTAGAAATAACTATTTTTGGGAAGTCCCATGGTGGTATTACTTTCAGAAATTTTAGCTCTCTAATTTTTATTAAAGTTGTATTACACAATTTTTATAAATTGATTTAGGAATGTAAAAGCTGGGTAGCAACATTATATACTTCAATACCATATTCAGCATTCTAAGCCAAAAGAAATTAGAAAAAGGAACTAGAAAAACATTTCCCCCAACTTCTTCCTGGCCTTAACATCTCTAGGCCTGAAGAAATAATGTTTTCTTCCCCAAATAAGAGACATGAAAACAAAAAGCAGGTTATCTGAGTGTGCCATGCATACTCTGGAAGGCTGGGATATAGACAGAAAGAAGGAAGGACAAACTAATGCTCCCTTGTGGAAGAGCAAATGTACTTCCATTTTAAATTTAACATCCAAATTATTTTCCATACTAAAATGTACCTGACCTTGACTTCCTATTGTTTTCTCATCTTATTCCCTTCCTACTCTTTAAGGAACTACAATGGCTTAGTAACTACGCATTTATCTTGACCTTAATGGTAAAGTTCTATCTAGCTCAGAAGAACTATGAAAATCAGGAAGATTTTAAGATAAACTGGATGACATTTTAGTGGGAAGATGCAGAGTAGAGCCTGACAATAAAGACATATTATTGTTTCTATCAGTTGCTTAATGTTGTGCCCCTTTGCAATTATTAGAATTCATTTATTCACATTGCTACAATGTTATTCTTTTGTTTATTCACTGGTCCTCTATCATATGGACTATTACATTTTGCTTCCTAGATGGATTTTACTGGGATTGCCAGGAGCCTCTTTCCTTCCTTCCTTCCTACTCAGGGTGAATATTTTTAAAGGGATTTTTTGGATTTAAATCAGTGGGTTTTTTTTTTATTTAAATTGGATTTTTATAAGTAAAACCTTTTTTGAGGAAAAATCTTTCTAAAGATAGCATTTAAGATACATTATAGTCCAAAGGAAATTACCACAAAATAAGGATTAGTTTTTAATTATGTTGCATGAGACAGTATATTCATGCAATGTTTAAATCTGTTGGTAAACAAATTCCATTAATCCATTCCCAATGTCATACTTTTCCAGAGGTTTCTGCATTTTTTCTATCTAGAACAATTATAACACATGCTTGATTTTACAGTTCTCAAAACTGTGAATTTGTGTCTGCAGAGATCACATGCCTCTTCTTCATAGCAAAAATGTTATAAAATAAACATACAGAGTTGAGAAAAAGACCTTAATCCCACTGTTCCTTTGCAAATATATGTACATAGAATTGACCCCTTACCTTTTAAGTACCAAGTTTCAAAAAATTCAATGAACAGAAGACTGCTGGGAATGGAATAGAGCTGTACAAGAATCTAAGCGTGAGGAGGGAGGTGCAAGTAGCAAAAATGAAAGTGAAGTCTTTTGATCAGAATAATCTACAAGTCTTTGGATCTTTTAGTGTATAGTCTGAGGTTTTGCATATCATTCTTTCCCTGGAGAAGAAAACCTATAATGGCAGCAGACTATAAAAGAGACCCAGTTTGGGAATAGTTTAATGAAGTTCCTCTACCTAAAGGTAAGGCAGGCATGCATGCAAATTTTGTAGAACACCATGATTTAAATCTCATCTTACTGACTAGTGATTTAAATCAAATCCACCCTGTTCCTACTCCAAAGCATCTCAGCTAAATGGATGGCCAAAATCCATTTCGCTAAAGTGCAGAGTGAAAGGTACATACAGATAGCTAGGTATCACTTCCACCACTCCTCCAGTTCTGCACTGAATACTTGAATGCTTGTAAGCCTTCTA